CTCCCTCCTCCCTCCTCCCTACTCCCTCTTCCCTACGCCCACCTCTTCCTCCTCCTCCTCCTCCTCCTCCTCCTCCTCCTCCTCCACCCCCTCTTCTTTCCTCTTCCTTCGGGGGGGCCGCCGCTGTCTCCCTTAACCCTCCTCTGATATCGCGGCCTTCGCTGGCCCCCACAGAGCAGCTCGGGGCGGTCTCCCCTCCACACGCTGGTGCTGCTTCTGGCCGTCTTCAGCGGCGGCTCCCGGGTCGCTATGCTTAGGTCGGGCGTGTCCCTCAATAGGAGGAATACTCGAAAGCAGGAACAACAATAGTTTTTTTTTTTTTTTTTTTTTTTTTTTTTTTTTTTTTTTTTTTTTTTTTTTTTTTTTTTTTTTTTTTTTTGTTTTTTGTTTTTTTGACTATTTTCATTTTTCGTTCAAACTCCGCCTGTAGGGGAACATTCCCGACCTAACGCTATGCAGCTGGGGTGGCCCAGACTGCGCCGCGAGTTTGCTGAAGGCAGCCAGAATTTCCATCGGCGGTGCCAGTGCGCAGTCCCGAGCCTTGCCAGCACGTCCTGTGCACCACGGTTCCTATCGTCGTCGGGCTCGTCTGGCTCAATCTCTTCGTGAGAAGCGCCATGCTGGATCCGCAGGAGCATATGTCGATGGTGTGGTGGCTCGTCAACGCCTTCTGGTTCCACATCGGGTGCGACGTGCTGAGCGGATATTACCAGGTGATGCCCGTGCTGACGGAGCTCTACATGCACATGAGTCCCGCGCATCGGGACGCTCGCTGGAGTCCATCGCGAGCCCCCCTGGACTCCGCTTACCTGCTGGAGCTCGTCATCGAGGCGCCGCTCGCGCTGCTGGTGCTGTTTCTGTTCTGGCGCCGGCACCCTGGCCGCTTCTTGCTGGAGGTCTGCGCCGCCAGCGTCCAGTTGGCAGGGACAGTGATGTACTATGCTCCCGCGGTGGCCAAGGGCGAGACGCACTGCTGGCTCTCCTGGGCCGATCGGTCGTGTGGCTCCGTGTGGATCGTCTTCCCGACGCTGCTGGTCGTGCGGCACGTGCTCGGCGCGGGGGAGAAGCTCAAGAGATCTTGAGCTCGCAGAGCGAGCAGCTCGCGGGGCTTGGGCGGAGGCACGGCAGATGTGGAGCTGTCCTGGCAGGACGGGTGCAGCGTCGCGGTGGGGACACTGCGGGCACGCGGCGTCCAGTGCTGGTGTATATCGGCTTCGCGTCCACTTCCATCTCTCCGCCCCTGTGTCTCTCTCTGCGTTTCCTTCGCGCGCTCCGTCCTTCCTGGCTTCCTCTGTCTCTCTCTGGTTCTCCTCCCTATCCCATAGCTTCATCCCCTGGTGCGCTCCGTCTGTCTCTCCCTCTGTTCTTTGCTGTCCTTTTCCCTCTCCCTGTCGCACTGTCCCCCTCTTGTCGTCTCCCTTTCTATTTCTCTCATTTTTTGTTTCCTCTCACTCACTCTCTGCCTCTCTCCCTCCCTTCCATCTCTCTCATGCTTCCACCTTGTATTCGTCTCTGTCCCTGTCTGTCTTTCTCTTTCTCTCTCTCTCTCTCCCTCCCTCTATTCCCAATTCGTCCTTACTCATCCCATCTTTGTCTTTCTCTCCCTCTCCCTCCCTTTCCTCTCTCTCTTACCATCCACGGTGTGTATACATATAACGGCGCACCGGGTCCGAGCGCCCGGGGCCGGCGCCGCCACCGCAAATGTGGGCTCCGGGGCCCTCGGGGAGCCCCGGGGCCTCGCAGAAGACTGCCAGAAGGCACCAAGGAGGCCCCAAGAGGCTCCAGAACAGACCCAGGACGCCCGAAGGTCGCTCCCAGACGTCCAACATGGCCTCCAAGGCGGCTTCAGAAGCCCCCAAGACACCCCAAGCGACCCCCAATAGGGCCCCAAAGAGAGCCCCAAGGGGCCAACATAGCCCCATTCCCCTCGTAAAACGTATATTTTTAACATATTGCTTGTTTTCGCTGTCTGTCCGGCCGAGGATGCGCCCCAGAGGGCCCCAATACAGCCCCAGAGAGCTCCAGGACGGCCCACGAAGGGCCCAAGACGGCCCAAGAGAGTCCCCAAGACGGGCCCGAGAGGGCCCCAGAGGAGGAAAGCCACTATCGAATTCCAAGCTTTCGACCCCAAGTGGCTCCAGGAGGCGCCGAGAAGCCCCCAAGAAGCGCCCAAAAGGCTCCCCAAAGCACCCCAAGACGCTCCAAGAGGCACCTCAAGAGAGCTCCAAGAAGCAGAAATCGTCCCCTTCCTGCAGAGGTGCAGGCCGCGGGCGACTCCCGTTGGCAGCTCTTTTGAGAGTTGCCCTTCCAGCGCGCGACGACAAACAGAAAAGACCCCCCGAGAGGCCCTCAGGACGGCCCCAAGACGAGCCAAGAAGGCTTCAAGACTGCCGAAGAGGCGCACAGGACACCCCCAGACCACCTTCCAGAGACCTCCGAGAGCCTCTCGGACCCCCTAGAGGCCCACAATACACCTCCGATCCCTGAGAGGCCCCAAAAAGACCCCGACGAGGCTCCAAGAACAACCCATGAGAGCTGCGAGAGCCCGCCCCGAGAGAGCCCAACGAGGGTAACATCTTTGATTTCCTGTGTTTTTTTCTAATGTTTTTCGCCTTCTCACGTTTTCCCGTTTCCAACCCTCGAAGATCGAGGATTTTGAAAAAAATATAATTCCCAGCATTCCCTTTTTCTTCAAAGTGGGACTGCTACTCGGGGGTCCTACACATCCCCTGACATCTGGCCGGTACCACGCCTCCTGGCTTCGCGGGGGGAGACCCAAAGACGCCGAAGGACAGTCCATGACGACCCCAAGGAGCCCCCAGAACGTAAAGAACGGCCCAACACGTTTTCGCGCAGCCCGAGACGTCCTTCCGACGGCCCTCCAGGCCTCCAGGAGGCCTCCAGAATCCCCAGGGGGTCCGGAAGATTCCACCCCTAAGGGGCCTGGCAAACAAAACCCGCGAGGCACAAACAAAAACCAGCGCCGCACAGCGCCGAGGAACTGGAAAAAATGGGAATCCCACAATTCCTTTTCTTGTTTTGTTCTTCAAGTTTGGCCCCCGGTCTACTCTTGCGCAACAGACCACAATTCAGACCCCCCTCACCTCCCCAAAAAGAACCCAGGGAGCCTTTGAGGGCCCCAAACCGTTGAATATCTAAAAGGAACTTACTGATTTCTGCAGCACTTCCCCTTCTATACGATTCCGAGGCTTGCGCAGGGCCTCCAAGGGAGTCCTTAGACGCAAGAAGCGACCATCATGAGATCATGAGTTAGACCATCAAGCCTAGCTTGAACTTGACCGCGCGCGAAGCGCGCGCGATGGAACTTGACCGCGCGCGAAGCGCGCGATGTATGCGTATATGTATGCATGTATGCATGTGTGCATGTGTACATGGAAGATGTATGTGTGTATGCATGTGTGCATGTGTACATGGAAGATGTATGTATGTATGTATGTATGTATGTATGTATGTATGTATGTATGTATGTATGTATGTATGTATGTATGCATGCATGCATGCATGCATGCATGCATGCATGCATGCATGTATGTATGTATGTATGTATGTATGTATGTATGTAAGTATGTATGTATGTATGTATGTATGTATGTATGTATGTATGTATGTATGTATGTATGTATGTACTTATGTGCGTATGTACGTATGTACGTATGTATGTATGCATGTCTGCCTGTCTGTCTGTCTGTATGTATGTACGTATGTACGTACGTACGTACGTATGCATGTATGCATGCATGCATATATCTGTGTATTATTTACACGTGTCTATGTATGCATCTAAGCATACACTGGCATGCGCGCATACACACTTGCTATATTTACACATGTATATGCCAATATATATATATATATATATATATGTATATATATATATATATATATCTATATACCGTGCCTGGGTTGTAGGTCAGAGGCCCTCTTGGATGCCTTGGGGGATCTCTTGGGAGGCTTCTCGGAAGCCTCTTGGAGTCGATCCTGGAACCACGAGGTGTGGGTCTCCCCCTCTGCCTCGCCGCCTCTCCTGCGCCCCTGGCCGAGGGCGAGGATGAGGAGGAGGAGGAGGACGACGGCGACCCCGGGACTTGCCCAGGAGTGCGTTGTGACCACAATTTCGAGGCGGTTCCTGTGTCTTTCTTTCTCTTTCTTCTCTCGTTCCCTTGTGCCTCTGTTTCGCCGCCACTCATTGTCAGCCACAGCGGCGCCGCGGCGCCCAACTGCAGTGCACCCGCGGCACCTCGACTGCAGGCCGACGTTCGATATCAGATATGATATGCGATCCAGCCGTTGCGACAAGGGCGCTCCAAGAGGCCCGAAGAGGCCGTGGGACGTTCAGGAGCCTCGAACCTCGATCCTCCAACCTCGAAGGGTTGGCCTCCCCATCTGCCCCACCGTCTCCGCTGTGCGGTCGTTCTGACGACATTCGCGAGGCGTGTCCAGACGCAGTTGGGCAGTGATTAGTCTTAAGTCGGGCATGTCCCTCTACAGGAGGAATATTCCAAAATAGTTAAACATAGTCTGGGGGCCATGTGCGTGTGTGTGTGTGTGTGTGTGTGTGTGTGTGTGTGTGTGTGTGTTAATCTATAAACATATGTTTGAGGATTTTTGACGATTTTTTTTAGCCCGAAATCCGCCTGTAGGGGGACATGCCCGACCTAAGCTTAGTCATATCACCAGCGACAGGGGTGCGTAGAACCAAATCTACTTGTGTCCACTGGCCACGTCTTCTTCAAGTCCCTTTTTACCACTCAGGCTGCCTTTGCCTCCGCACCCCGCAGCCTGCTCCCATTTAGCCCTGTGCTCTCCTATTGCGAAGGCCTTGCGGCTGGTGCCGCCGACCCCGAAGGGAGACGATGACGACAACGGCGACGCGGCGGTGACGACGACGACGACCCTGCTTCTTCGGTGGGCCAGGGTCCTCAGGGATGCTTCTTGGGGTCTCGTCGGAAGGCTCTCTGATGCATCTGGGGAGGAATGTTGGGGCCTCTTGGGAGCCTCTTGGGGGCCTCTTGGGAGCCTCTTGGGGGCCTTTTCTGGCTTCTGGGTACCTCTTGTGGGCCTCTTGGGGCCTCTTGGAAACCTCTTGGGGCCTCCTGGGAGCCTCTCGGGGCCCAGGGCTCGAAATGTCCGTTCGGGCCCCCCGTCTGGGCACGCTCTGAGGGAGCCGTCTTGGGGGCCTCTTGGGCCGTCTTGTGGGCGTTTTGGGATGTCTTGGGGTACTGTTGGGCTGTTTTGGGGCCCTCTTTGAGACCTCGTGGGCCGTCTTGGGGCGATCTTGGGAGCCTCTCGCAGGAGGTGGAAAAGGCGAGAACGCGCAAATCTTAAAACGAAACCGAAGGAACTCAATGTTTTTGGCCTCTTGGAGTCCTCCTGGGAGCGCTCTTGGAGGCTTCTCGGGGCGTCCTGGAGGCCTCCCGGGCAGTCTGGAGGGCGTGAGGGCGTTTTGGACCGATGGTTTGGCGATTGGGGGCCCTCTTGGACCGTCTCGGGAGCCCCTTGGGGCACTCTCGGCCTGCCCTGGTCCTTTCGGAGGCCCCGGGACCCCAAGGGGGAGATGCGTATCTGACCCCCCTTGGGACCTCCCTCACGACCCCCCCTACGACCCCCCCCCCACCCACCCAACGGAGTAGGGATCAAAGGGGAAGGGCTTCCTTTCGACTTTCTCTCGCTGGCGAGCTTGAGGAGAAGGGTGCAGGGGAAGGGGACGACGGAGGCGACGACTGACGGAGAAGACGACGACTCGAGCAGACACGCCCCTCGCACACGCCAGCAGGGTCGGCGTATTTCTGCTACCAGGGTGTCCTTTCGCGTCTGCAAGCACATCGTCTTCGACACCGCCTGATTCCGGGGCTTTGCCCCCTCCTGGCCTTGACGTGAGGCCCCTCCTTCTGCTCCCCCCCTTTGTGAATTAGAGCTGTGCGCGGCCCGCTCAGCTTCGACCGGAAGAGGTTCGCTCTCGACCCGCGGATCAAGCAAGTCCTCCCGCGTCGCGGTGCTTCGCCCAGCTCAAACTGCAGCACGGGGCGCGACTCTAGGGGGGGCACATGCGAACCCTACCCCTGCCCCCCACGATTTCTGAGGGGGAGGGTGGGGCTCGCTTTGCTCGGGAGCTCCCGAGAGGAGGGAACCCCACCCTCCCCCTCAGAAATCAGAGGGGGGTAGAGGTACAGTCGGGGCCCTGAACAAGGAACCCTTTTCGTTGGGGAGGGGCTCCGCGTTTCTTAAGTGTTTCACAGCTTGCCTCAGGCTTTCCTTATGTTTTCGTCAGGAAATCGAAGGTTAACCTTTTGGAAAAAAGGGGCCTCGTTACTTATTTAGGGTTCCTTAGGTCAACGCCGCGACTGTAGGGTTCGCATGTGCCCCCCTACGATTCGGAACGCCGAGCGGCCCCTTCCGGTGCCGCTCCGCTGGCCGGGAGCCCGCCGCAGGAGCCCGGGCACGCGTGCCCGCTGCTCTGGGGCAGCCGCTTCGGCTCGCCGCCTCTGGCGGGCCTCGCCCCCCACCCCCTGTTCGGAGGCAGCTCCTGGGAGGTCAAAGCCTGGCGTTGCCCGGGCCCGGCATCCCGCCTCGTCCGGCGGAATCCCGCCTCCAGCTGGCTCCATTACGGTCAATCTCCGGCTTGCTCCCGCCTTCCATCCGCGGCCGAGCCCGGCGTAGCAGCCCCCCCCCATGGAGCTGAGTTCTCCCTGATCCTGCCGTTAGGTCGGGCATGTCCTCCTACGGGCGGATTTCGGGCGAAAGTTAACAAACAGTCGAAACATATTCAAAGATAGACAGCGCATGATCGAAACATCGTCCCCGCATTCTCTTTTTGACTATATTTTTGAGCTTTCCTTCTCTATAGAGGGACAATCTCGACTTGATCCTTCCGACGAAGACCTCCCAGCAGTTGCCACCGAACCCTCTCGGCAGAGGCCCACGGCGCCATGGCCTCTGCTGGCGCGGCCTGGGCCTCCCGCGGCCTCGCTGGCGGCGCGGGGCGGCGCAGGGCCGCAGCGCCTGCGGCTCTGTCCGCGCGGCGGGGCTTCGCGCTGCGCGCCGGGGAGGGCCGCGGCGCCCAGCGGAGGGCGCAGTACGCGGAGGATCCCCGCGGCAAGACGTTCGCGGAGCGCGGCTACGTCGCGAGGGACGCGCCCCGCAGCTCGCGGCTGTACCCCAGGCCCTCGAGAGGGGGAAGGGGTGCCCATACCTCCACCTTCCCCTCGGGTTGTCCCGTTTTTGGGCGTCCTGGGCGGCCCTCGTCGCCGCTGCTGGATTCGCCTCGAAGCCCTGGTCAGAACGCACCCCGGGAGAGGTCCAGGGAGCAGCGGTACCGGTGCCTTCGCGGTCTCCGCACGAGGCCCGAGGGGCTCGAGCCGCCGGCGCGGCTGCCGGGGGGCCGGAAGCAGGTCTCCGTGGAGCTGGCCCGCAGCGACGTGGACGGCTTCCTGGAGGCCCAGGTGGTGCTGGCGACCCGCACGGGGCACAAGCTCTTCTGGCTCAGCGAGGAGGAGCTGGGCGAGATCGAGAAGCTGGCCCCGCGCCTGAACGAGTACCTGCAGCTGTGGCAGGAGAAGGCCGCCCTGGCGCGCGAGGCGCGGGACGGGCGCGACCTGGCGCCGCGCCTGGAGCAGGCCCAGAGGGAGCGGCTCCTGGAGTGACGCGGCGGCTGCCGGTGCGCCGCAGCGGTCGGGTCGGTCCGAAAAGAAAAGTCGCTCGCTCCCTCGGCTCGGCATCACCCAAACATGCGCCAGCGGCAGCGATCGGGGGGGACAGGCACTGATAGGGGGGGCTGCATCGACCCCCAGTCGCCCACTGCTCGCCGACAGGGGTCCGATAGCCCCACCCCACCCAGGAAGGTGCACACTCGCTGTCGGGGGCCTATCGCCGATCAGTCGGCGATGTATCGCCGATTGCAGGTCGATGTTCCCCCCCTATGCTTATGCTTTTCCAACCTACTTTGGCCCCGATTACCAGAAATAACTTCGAGCAACAAGAAAGTACCGCAGCTGGAGGGCTTTCACGTCTCGGGCCCTTGGAGGCGATACTCGTCCGACACCGTTTCGATACATGTCCTGGGTGCTCGAACTCATTTCTGGGATGTGGACCTTGAGCACGATGGGAGCAACATAATCATCTCTGATCCGCAGCGCCCGGGACCTGCCTGGGGTATGTTTCTTCCGGGGACCCCCAGGGGCCGCCCCGCGCGCGCTAAGTAGCATTACTGCACAGCGGTTGGCGGAGATCTTAGCACGCCTCGTGTCCGTTGGGCCGGCGAACCTCTGGGATGTGGACCTTCAGGTACGATGGGAGCAGCGCACGCCCCCGTGCCAGGCCCCTCGCTGCCCTTCGGTGCTCAGTGCCGTGTGCGCGCCGCCCCCCCCCCTTGGGCGCGCGCTGGGGGTGTGCGCTCGGTGCTGGGCGCTTCCCAGCCACGGCTCTGCAGGCGGCGGCCTCCTCTCGGGCCCCGCGCGGGTGCGGCGCGGATTCGGCGCGGAGCCGGCGCGGGTTCGGCGTGGGCCCGCCGCGAGCAGCGGCGCGGGCGGCGCCGCGATGGTCGGTCGTTTCCAGAGGTCTCCCTAACCCAAGGTGCCCCCCAGGATTTCCAAGGAGGCCTCCACGGCGTCCCGAGCACCGCCCACGAGGCCCAGAGGGCCCCGGGGGCTCCAACATTGATCGAAAAGCTGGGGGCACCTTGGGCCAGGGACGACTCTAGCACCCCCCGAGTTCGGTAATTAGCAAGTCATGGGAGCGTTGTGTGGCCTCGGAAATCATTCTTTAGAACACAATAGCGTGCGTTACCGTTCTTGCAATGGATGAGGAAGCGCCGACTTAGCGTCGATCAGCGTCAATGTAGCGTCGACTAGGGTCGATCGGCGTCGGTTCGCAAGAGTTAGCACGATGACATGGGAGACTCCCAAGAGTTGCCACAGAACCCGAGATGGGACAGAGGAGGCCCGCCGAGAATGCAGCGCGAGCCTCTGTGGTGGCCGCTGCGGCGCGCGACCTCTCGGCGAGCCCCGCGCGCGCGCGGGCCCCGCCGACGGGGTGCCCAGGCGCCCTGCAGGGCCCTGCGCGGCGTCGGCCGACGTCGCCCGCGCCCACGCTCCAGCAGCCTCTGGCCGGTGGGCGGCAGGCGAGCGACGCGGCACGTGGGCGGGGTCGACTGCGCGGGCCTGTGCGCGCCGGCTGCCCGCCGGGGGTCGCGCGCGGGCGGCCCGCCGCTTCGCGCGGTGTGCGGCGCGGGCGGTCCGCGGGAGCCTCAGCAGCAGCAGGCGCCGCAGTGTCGGCTTCGCCGCTCGGGGAAGGGCCAGGCCGAAGGTCGTCGTGCTGGGAGGGCCTCTGCCTGCGCGGGCAGTGCGAGAGGTGCGGAATCGTTGGACGGTTTGTGCCGTGCGTTTGGAGGCGCACCTGCAGGCTGCATTGATCGGGCGGGCGACGTACCAGAAGCAACATGTTCGGGGTGGCTCTTGTAGTCTGTTCGCAAGGGGCGGTGCTCTGAGTGTGCATCACTGCCCCTGCGCCGAAGCCATGATTGCTGCCTGTCCTCTGGTGCCCCCGCCCCTGTCCTCGCCTTTCTCCTCCTATTCCCTTCTCCCTCTCCGTTCTTCCCCGTTCGGCGTGAGGCGTCCGAGTCTCCCACGGCTCATTGAGCAGTCAGTGCTGGGAGGAGGAGGAGGAGGAGGAGGAGGAGGAGGAGGAGGAGGAGGAGGAGGAGGAGGAGGAGGAGGAGGAGGAGGAGGAGGAGGAGGAGGAGGAGGAGGAGGAGGAGGAGGAGGAGGAGGAGGAGGAGGAATGGGAGGAGGAGGAGGAATGGGAGGAGGAGGAGGAGGAGGAGGAGGAGGCGGAGGAGGAGGAGGAGGAGGGTGGAACCTTGGAGTCCCGATCGCCTTTGTTTTTATCGTGCCCGCTTCATCGTTCGCAGTTGGCGGTGCGCCAAGGGGGGTGGGGCGAGGGGGCCGCCTTCCAAGAAAGGAGGGGGGCGACTTCTTCCAGCGCCGTCGTGCGCCAACGTTACGGCAGCTCCCTTGCCATGTCGGAGACCACATGCGGCGACAGTCTTGGGCCACACTCGAGGCCGTCTCGGCCATCCGGAACACTAGGGAGGACCCCTCCCTGCTTTCACGGAGCCTTCTCAGACGCCTCCGATCCTTTCCGAGGAGTCTCCTCTGCCCTCCGAGCAGGCCGCCCACCTCGCGCGCCCCCCCTTTGTTACATGCTTGTTTTGGGGACCTTCCTGGGGCCCACCCAACGGATCTGTTCGACTCCAGTTCGATTCAAGTTCGACTCAGGCTCGACTCAAGTTCGACTCAGGTTCGACTCAGGTTCGACTCAGGTTCGACTCGAGTCGACGGACTTTAGACGCAGCTTCGACGCACGAGTGGAGCGAGTGGCTCCAGGAAGGTCTCCAGAATGAGCAGCCAACCTTTGGCGCGACGCCGCTGACGCGAGGCCCGCGGCCCAGGACGGAGCCGTCCAAGAGGGCGCGCGGCATCCCCAGCTGCTGCACCCGAGGGGCCGCCGCCCTCCTGCCTTGGGCGGGGCCCGCCTCGGTGGACTCGACCGCGCGGGCGATCTTGGGCCGATTCGATCGCGCGAGCGGCTCGGTCGAAGCTCGGAGTTCGAGGTTCGAGGCTCGGGTTTTTCAGCGCCCCTGGGCAGGAGGAGGAGGAGGAGAGGAGGAGGAGGAGGAGGAGGAGGAGGAGGAGGAGGGCGAGGAGGAGGAGGAGGAGGAGGAGGAGGAGGAGGAGGAGGAGGAGGAGGAGGAGGAGGAGCAGGAGGAGCAGGAGGAGGCGGTGGAGGAGCTCCGGGAGGCTTCTCGTGGCCGCGGCTGGCTGCGCCGCGCAAGATCCTGGGCAGAGCACGCCCCGGGGAGAGGCCCGCGATCGGGGCCCGGAGGCCGTCCCCAGTGGTGCTCCCAGCGCGGTGGCCCCCAGCCGCTCGCGCCGTTTGGGAGCCACTGGGGTGCCCAGGGGCCTCGGGAAGGGGGTAATGAAAAATCATCAACGATGCAGTACCTCTCCTCGTCGAGGTTGATGGGGCGGCCCCCGCCACTGCGGAGTGCTGCGGACGCGTCACGGAGGTGACCCAGAACGAGGAGCAGCACGACATGTCCCTGGTGACCGCCGTGGTCGTGGAGGCGCCGAGGACGACGGAGCTGCACCAGTTGACCGAGCCAGAGGTCGACACTTCAGAAACTGACTCAGATTCAGACCCGCTTCTAGCGGGAGGACGTGGTGGTATGTACTCGTAGTGGCGTCGGGGGAACGACAAAGCGACGATGCAGACCCAACTGGCACTCTTGGAAGAGCGATTGCGAGACTTGGCGGGCCAAGTCCGTGGGAGTAATCGAACACGATTCAAAGAGAAGCCACAACATCGATCTCATGATAGTGCCCAAGAGAAGACCGACAGACGACGGGATCCACGTCTGCTGGTTCGACTCAAGCGCCTCATTCGCCAAGCGGATGAAAAAATATCAGCCTCCCACGACGGGATGATCGCAACACAGGTATTTGCTCGAGGACAGTTCGCCCAAGAGTAAGAAAGCTGACAAGAATGCCGCGACCAAGGGCACAGAGAAAAATGCCATGACGTCGCCTAATACGTACAAGCTGCTTCAACATCCATGGGGATCATCATCGGTGTGGCAAGCAGCACATATCAAAGACAACTATTACGACCCTCAGGCATCACCAGTAATCGCCTGCAAGGGTCGGGAGGAGTACGACAGCGTGGTGGAACAGTTCGGTGTCAGGGGACACCCGGCCGCGACGGCCACGTACGTGCTCTTCGACGAAGACACCAAGCTCGACGGCTGGGAGAACACAGACGTCGCAGTCGAGGCCAAAAGTGGAGGGGCCGCCTTGGTCCCAGCCCAGATCCTGCGAATGGGCCAGAAGGCCCCCCAGAAGGCAGGACTACCGAAAGGAGTCAAGGATGACGTGGAGGTGGCAGCCCCCGCGGACAAGCCGATCGCGGTGCGGATCACAGTCGCTCGAGACTATGCACCATATTGGTTTTATGCAGAAGCAGAAGAGAACTCTGTGGCCCTTCCCGCACACATCCTGAGTGCGGCCCTCACAAAGCAAGTACTCGAAACCAAGGGGGCGGTGGCGTACGAGACAGAGGTGGCGGCGATCCTTATCGTGCAAGCTGCCCACATCGACGACATCATGCAGTATCAATTGCCAAATAGAGTTTCTCTCAATCGCCAGGGGACCACCCTGGTTCCTTTGTGGCACACTCTCGGAGATGACGAGCAGGCCGCGGACTACTTCAAGAGGGTGCAGGCAGTTGCGCGACCAGCTGCTGGGCGTCTCGTATACGGACCTTCGGGCAACAGCTCCCTCCATTTCGGCCAAAGTTGTGACGGCTGACACGCGACCCCGCTGACTTTTTCAACGCGCGCGGGCGTCGTGGTCCCAAGAGAATGAGGTGAAGGCGTGGGCACTTGACCGTGGTTTCAAGAATGTCAACGGCATCGCACGTTGTGGTACGAGACGCTGGTTCATTCGAGCAGATCTTGAGCAGTTGGGAAGTGGCAGAGTTTTGGAATTCAAATCAGGGGTGATGGCCAGTCTGGCGGCGCCGCGTCGGGGGAGCTCCAGGCCAGCGCCGACGAAGTCGTCAAGGCGGCCTGTGGCACTCCCAGACCTACCCGACACCAGCCTGAAGCGCCAGCTGTGATTCCCCAGGAGGCCAAGCCTG